AAAGTGTGCGCCGGATGGGTTCCAAGAAATCTGTCTGCAGATCACAAACTCCAAGGGAAGACAATCTGTGAAAATTGTTGGAGCGGCATTCTACATCCAATTGGAAAGGTAAACACATTGGCGAGTGACAAAAACCAAATCACTTGATATTTTATTGCAGGTGATACTCTGATTGGAGTTCAGAACTATTAGTAATCTCTAGATAGGTTAGTGAAGTGTCGCAATCAGAGCTTTTGAGATCAAACTTGGTAAATAAGTCAGAAGTAATATCTAGATATGCCGGTCATTAAGGTTCGTTTAATTTACGAGAAGTGATACGTACATTACATAAATCCATTGTGACATTTTCGAAATTTTAATTAAACTTCATTTTCTTTGTAAAGAACTGATGAACTTTATTTACAATCCGTATGTACTGTAGTGTTTTATTGCAGTATTTGTGATGACAACTAGAAGTGTTGCTTTCAAGACCTTAACTAGTCCACCTTCGAGATTTTTTCAGGAGGCACCAACAACTTCATTACGTAGACGTGCGTAGTAATGAATTTATGATTTATCCCGCCTTTCAATGTGTTTGATACTAGTCCAAAGGAAATGTCTCATCAGATAACACTAGTTGAAGGGAATAACTTGGTGCAGTATCTCAAAATATTGAATCCAGGACTTGTTTGATTCTTACAAGAAATCCTTCACTTTTCTTTAAAAAAATAATTTGTTAAAGTGTTTTACGAGAGTATTTAATCTATTGTTCTTGAGTAGTGTTCCCGCTAATTTTTGGAAAAAATTGTGTGGTTTTCTTCAACAGCATTTTTACTACTGCACTTTACTAGTACAATAATGTTTTTGTTATTTACGTTGGTAAACGCACACTTAACCACTTAGCAACAACTATCTAAACAACACTTTAAGAGTGCGTCTACGGCACCGGTCATTAAAATGCTCGAGAGTCCGTTAAAAATATTTTAGCTTTGTTCATAAATCTTGGGATAAATATGACGTTGACACAAAACACACTTTTGGGGAATAAATATATACAATTTCTTGTTACAATTATTTTGGGACAGATTTATTAAAAGTACAATGCAAACATAATCACTTCGTTACTGCCTCGAACATTCCTTTTCGTTCGCCAATCACAAAATAAACCATAATCGTTCTCATAAGTGGTTATAGATTTAGAAGGCATCGAACTAGAGATTGCAGCTTCTGCTTCCTTCGGAATATCATCTGGCACGAAAATATATTCTGACACTTCCAAATTCCCGGATATTTTCTCAATCAGCTTGAATTATCAGACAAAGCATTCAACTGTTTGATGACAAACAAATCAGCCAGTACCATCAACGTTTGCTGCTGAAAATCGAGGTTAATAGCAATTCTTAACACATGAAAGTGATAAAAGTTTATTTTGAATAAGCAAAAAACTAGAAATAACAAAAAAACTTTTTCTCTACTAGTACTTAAAGAATCATTTAAAACACTCGCAATATAAATAACTACTTCGAAATCCTCAGGGAAAATGGTTTTATAACTTTCCGTGGATTTTCGTCCGCGTGTGTTCCTCCGCTTCCAAGTGCTTCGGCCTTCCCCAGTCGCCGCGGGCGGTCGGGGGCGGTGCCCAGCAGAGAATCCTCGCCCGCCCACGCGCCGCCGCCCAGCCTCCTTGGGCGATAGCGGAATCGCCCTCCGCCTCGCACTGTGGTCTTCATTGAGAAACAAGTGGACAACGAAATCTGTGTTGCTGGCTTTTCGAATGCGACGTCTGAATTTAAAATCTATACACGTGTTTGAGGGCCAAGTAATATTATTTATGCTCCACATACAATTTGAGTTATACATTTCCACATACAATGAGATTATTTTGATTCAGGAATGAGAATAATTTCTATTTTTACAAGGACATTTGATGCACTAGTTAACATTTGTACTGTATTCTAATATAAAACACTAAATATTCCTGAAACAAGTATTGCGTTTTCAATTTCTGCGAAAACGAGCAAGATCTTCATTAATATTTGTTGTCAAGTTTTCCTTGATCCAATGAATGAACGTTGAGAAGGGCCGTTGTCCTGCTTTTGGATATAAATGTAGCTTCACTATACGCACGTTTTATTGGGCTGAAGAAAAAAAATTTTTTTCGTATACACACAAAGAGCGAAATTTTTGAGACAAAATCCGGATAAAAATCTGTATCGCATGCTGCCATTCGGGCCAAATTTATATCCTGAGACTGGAAGCCGGCCGTAAGAATTCCAGTGCACACACCGTTAACAAAAGACACTTAACGACCTCCATAATCCAAAACAATAGACTCTTGGAAATGCCCACGAAATTGCGGTGACATACACTTTGAGTAAAAATGAAAAAATACAAAAAGCACGTTTTTGATGATTTATGCTTCTGAGTACATAATGATAAGGAATTTTTTTTTCTTATTTAAGGTTGCATCAACTACTGGGTCATTAGCGACCACTATTTCGTGTAACGGTATGGTAACTATGAGGATGACACGATATGATGTTGAAAGGGGTGTCAAAGGACGAACACAATACAACGGCACTACTGCCTTAGCGATCTCGGCCATCCTCCGGCAAAGAAATAATTTATTGATAATATTATGAAAAAACAGCTTCACCACCTGAAATGACACTGCATACGGGTTGTGAACCTCACCATCATAACATCGAATATAAAACAAGTATTTAAAAGCAGTATTTTTATTTCGCATCTGCCGAATCACCTACAGTACCGGGGAAAAAAGTTACAAATTTCGTATTTTCAATGATTTCAAAACCTGACAGCTGAACCGAAATTAATTCTTCTTGGAAAGCTCTTCATCCAAAATGTGATTCCCGATCGTTGGCCTCCGGTGTCCCAATCCGCCCCACAGCGCTCTCCCGCCCTCCTCCTCCCCGAGGCGATTGGGCGGTGTCGCCCTCGTGCCGCCGCCATCGCCCGCCGCCGCCCACCTGTTGCAACGCGACGAGCGCGAAAACTGCACCCAAGGCGAACGCCCGACCGCCCCGTCGTCCGGTGGATATTCATTCAGGTCATTACGACTATTGCACCCACGCCTCTCCACGTCGCAAGTAAGCAACGAGAAGCGAGAATATATTCAAATGAAACCAATCCCAGATGCTTATCGCCATAAATTTATCATTTTGTTGACCTTTTTTGTCTCCACTGTAATTACTTTGTTAACCCTTTTAAGATAAGATAGCAATTGTTTTAGGTTCATAATGAGCATCAATATATTATCATGTGTCGTTTTGATGTTTACAACTCGGAAATAGTATCTATTACTGAAGATTCAGAGCCGAAAACCAGCAAAGGAAACCCAGAATGTATGTGGAAGTGGTTTCAAGAATTTTGTGACGAAAGAAAATACAAATGGACGGCACAAACTACAAATGAAATTACACATGTTTTAAGCAATTAATATGCACATATTATATGGTAAAGAGGATAAAGAATATGCTATCGAAACTGTGTGAAACGTTACAAACAAAACATTTCAGACAAATACTTCAATGAGTGCATGCGTGTGATCAGTCCAATCGAATATGACAAATCCCACTGCTAATTCGGGTTGTAGATCTTCCATTTCAAATACTTCCACCGAATACCAACACATGGAAAACTCAACTTCCTACAACTCTAATAATTGTATTTTTAATATAAGTTCTTGTAAGTAGCTTTGTTATAATTTTTTGTTCATTTTTTTACCATAAAATCGAAATTAGTTGAAATCATTATCTACATTAAACTGTTATTCACATTTTACTTCATAATTAGGTATTCCAGGAGGCAGTGTTAAATCGGATCTCAATGAATGTTTTACTGATTTTGGTTGCAATTTTGAGTAATAGTTATCTTGTTTGCAATTTCTGGGATTTTAATTATCCATTCGATTCCTGTATTGTGCTAATTCGTCAAGTAGTCACACGAAATACCACTCGAAGTGCTGTGATAGCCGGTAAAATCAAATTCCTCGTGAATTTACAGGTTATTACAGCACTGCTCGTAGACTTACTTATCATAAAATTATACGTAATGTATTGGTGAATCTCTGAATAGGTGTAATTTAATAATAGGCTGATTAATTTCGTCAGAACTGTATGTGGGGTACTGAGTAATATTTCATTTTATTTTATATTAATTTGATTTATTTCGTCAAAACATAGTCAAAACTGTATGTGACGTGTGGGGGAATTTAGGATTCCCTTTAATGAAATTTAACTTGATTTATTTTGTCAAAATTGTATGTGACATAGGGGATCTTTGATTTGATTTCACTTAAATTTTAATTTCATTGATATCGTCAAAACAGTCGAACTATGTATGGCATTCGGCGTATAATCTGCGCAGGATTTATTGAACTCCAGAATATCTTTCCCACCCTTTGCTATATATAGTTGAATGATGAATGAAAATTCCCACAACATTTATCAACATTTCAAAACTAGATATTTTCATTTCTGAGTATTAAAAAACTTATTTGCATCGGTAAACGAAGTTCTGATTTGATAACAAATTTAAAAAGAATAAATTTTAGAAACGTAATGTATAGTATGTACTCGTACTGCACATTTTAGTTCATAGATGAAATTAGTTAGATAACGAATAAAATTATTTGCGCTATATTAAAACATTTTAAAAATATGTTCAAGGACTCGAAAAATAAATCGATCTGTAGAGTTTTTTAATGAACAGAGGTTCGATATGGAGATCCGATTTTAATTAATATTTGAAATTAGTAGTATTTTTTTTTGATCTTTTCTAAGCGATAGAAAAGTTAACAGGATAAAATTTAACAAGTATGTTAAAAGAACATCTTAATTTTATCACAAACTGAATAAAATATTTACAAGTATAAATATATTAACAAACAAATGGCATTTTCTTTATATTTTGGAAGTTTACAAAAAAAATAAAAAATAAATATTCAAAGGGAAAAGTAAAATATAAGAGAAAATAAGCTTACCGAAGATTCCAAAACTCCTGGTTTACGAGTCAAAGACTAACTCTCGTCCAAGGATGTCTGAAAATAAACATTGATAAATTAAAAAAAAACTTTTTAAAGTTTTCTAATGGAGTTAAATGACAAAATCGAGACATTATGTTACATTGGTACATAGACAAGACGGGAAGAAGTGAAAAATAGCCGTTCTCTTGTCTTATTGAAGCGATTTGTCTGCCATTAAGATAATAAAAATAATCACAACAATAATGGACAATAATTTAAATAAATACGAAGAACATAAATTTTATAATTATAAAATACGAAAAATATAAATTTTATAATTATAAAATTGTTCCACTATACGAATACATTTAATAATACATAATTCAGTTCTTGTACATATTAATGTACCAGCTATGATTGGGTGTCAAGTTTTTGTAATATTAAATAATTGCCTTGTTATTGAAAGCATTGTGCATATATCTAATGTTAAATCAAATATCGACTCTTAATTTAAAATATTCAACAGTCTCCAAGAACCTTGGGTGGATGAGGTTATAATAAAAAAAGAAGAAATTTATTTATCAAAAATGCAATATTACTGATAAAAAATAATGCGAGTATTCCCAACTCTAGGTAGCCTGACGCGTAATTTGTTTGTAGAGGAAGCAGGGTCATTTCAGCAAGTCATCAACCTGAATCTTTGCCACCTGCCTTCGCTGTATACGAATTGGCGCAGTCCATTGTTCGAAGGTCCAACAAACAAGGGTACGAGAGATTTTGTGAATGGCGCTGTTTTATCAATTGATCGCGTGACAATGCACCTTTTCAGCAGCAGGTGCGAAGTGAAATTATAGAGCCGGAGATTTCAATGCTCTATCGAACAACGAACCCAGAGAGTACTACGACGCAAACTCTTTGCATAGCACGAGAAAATCAAGTCGCAGAGATATGAGAAGAAACTTAGAAAACGATGCCCCTGCTTTAAACTCGAAATAACTCATCGTAAGGAATAAAATCTAATTTATTTGTATAATCCTATACTACATTATTGCTCAATAAATGTTTACAAACTAATGTAGAGCGAGCGATAAAGAGCAAATAATTACACTAAGGAACACAATTTTTACCTCCAGGAAGATAGAATGCGCAACATACTCAAATGTATGGATAGATTACGAATATCGCAATAAAATCGGCATATTAAATGTACTGTATCTTTATACCGTATCATACCGTATTTTACTGTTAATGCATACATTTAAATTGCACTAGTAAAATATCAAAATATTAATACGCATGAAATCTATTTTAAAATAAAATATAAGTTCAGTTTATGCCACTTTCAAGAGACATCATTGAAATTAGGCTTTCGTGTTTGTTTTTCACATTCTGTATTCGAAGACTGCAGTTTTTATTCTCGGATCTGCTAGGCGCTCTTAATTACCAGTAGGCCTAGGTGCATGTTTTGAAGAAAAGTCACGGGCACACTGATATTTTCTACTGCGCATCAGTCACCAAAGGGAATTATTTCAATCCCTTACATTATCCCAAGCATCACAATATTCATCTGTTGGGGTGGCAAATTCTGAGTCAGTCGGAGTAATGCGGAATTATACCTACACTGTGCGGGAAGTTTCGTTCTGGTTTGCGTGTGCCTCAATATATCATTAATACATCACAGTTCTGGGTTTTAATGAAGTGAAATTTGACACATTTTTAGAATTGAACCCATTCGATAAAATGCAAATTTTCATTTCACACCAAAAGTGTGCGAATCAACCCTATGTTTCGTTTGTGTGGAAGATTAATACCCAAACTTGAAAGTAAAAAAAAATATACGAAATTAGAAAACTTGGGTATTATTTATACTCTGGTTATCGTGTTTGTGATCAGGGCAAACCATGGGCTGCTCGACTGACCATGTGTTATGTCACCTGTACATCGAACCTTAGGATGTGGTTGTATGGGAAACTCAAATCATAGTCATTCGCTCTACCATTGTTCTGGAGAGCATCAACAAATCATTTTAATGTCTGCATATTATTGCACGAACATGCGTATGCCATTTTTAACTCCTTTTTACCTCGTATGAAGCATGCTCATAAATTTTGTAGCAATATAACAGATGTGACAATGCGGAAATCAGTATATGATTTTGTTTATTTCAAATAATAAATATGTTCATCTTTTGAACCTGACATGCTAGAAACGTTTTATAACAATTTTAGAAATCAGCGTGATCGTTTCGTTTGAAATCACATACTTTCATTCTAAAGGTACGAAAACAATTTTGTTCCCTAGTGTTATCAGTGTACCAAATAATATATTGTTTGAAGTTGTATGCGCTATTTTTTTAGTACGCATATATTGGATTAATCCGACTTTTGCTATCTGGCGGTGTTCCCAGGCCTGAGCCCCGTTTTTATTTATTTTCCACGCATGAAGGGAGACAGGTGGTGAGCATGGTGTATTCTCATCACCGTACCTAGTATTGCCATCGTCGAACAGCCAGAGAAACTGAGACGATTTGTATTAGATACCTACAGTTTCATTTTTACCCCGGCAGGGAATCGACCCCGGGATCGCATCACAGAAAGCTAGCACGCTGTCCATGAACCACTCAAGGGGTTATTTAATTAATATTAGTTAATTATCAATTAATTAAGAAACCAAAAAGATTAAGTAGTTTAGATCGAAGTTGAACTTTGCAGATGACGTCTTCTGTATTGATCCATTGACGAGTGTTTGTTGTTCTGTTTACACCTGCAAACAGTTCGTTTCAACTCCTGATTTAATGCAGATCAGTGAAAGAATTTAAACTTTAAAATATCATTTTTTCCAAGGAAAATCAAGAACGTCTCGTAAAAGATTACGAATAATATTTTTCAATACGATAAATGCGAAACAAATACGAGAAACACAAATATTTCCACTGTTTATCTTCTATATAAATATCACAGCCATTTGACAGTACAGTACACAAAACTAATATTTCGATAAACAATGAGTAGTGACATTAAAAGAAATTTAAGAAGAACATCTACATAATTAAATATTAGAAATTTCATTCTAAGAGATGTCTAAGGGTATTTGAGTATTATAAAATGAAAACGTTTGGGATTGATTTCTTGCTAAGTTGTTAGCACATTTTAGTACACTTGCTGATAATGGCAAAGCTTTTGGCGAAGCTTTGCTATCACAAACTTCTAATCTCCAATTGCTAGTAGCGTCGTGAATCAAAACCATTGATTGAAAATTGAACACGAACGTTATTCAATTAGATGTCAGCCGTGTTTCGTGGCGTGTGTCTATAAATTCAAAGCATTACATTAACTCTTGATAGTTAATTATTTACAATTTTGTACGAAACGATTAAAAATAGTCACACTTAATGAGTACAGAATTACAATAAAGCTGTGAAATTCCTCGTATGTGTGATGCGCGGCTTAAGTTACATTTTTCTCTTATGTTAGTATGTTTTAATGCATAATTTACATCTGACACACTTTGATTTACTCTTTAGAAACCTACTACACGGTGTTAAAGCCCCGCTAAATCAAACATTTGAGCCTAACTATCTAAATCAAAGTGAAATACATTTTGTGAGTAAGTTAGATAACAATACGATAACGCACGACACCAGAACGAGCGCCGGTGTTCCGCAAGGACTTGAAACGAGCCCAGTATATCCAGCTCACGGTTATTAATAGTTCGGCGCGAACGGTTCTGCGCCGTATGCAAAGCGCAGGTGAATATAATGCAGTGTGAGGCCGTTCCTTTGACCTCGTTTGCGCTGGGGCAGGTACAGCGAGCATTCCTCCATTAACTACGTCCGGCGCTGGCAGTCGCGTGGCGTGGGCGACGCGTGGGCGACACGTGGGTGCGGACACGGTGCGCGCGCGCGCGTTGCCACAGAGCCATTTACTCGCTAAGGTTTTTCATTTCCTTCAACACTCTCTCTGACCCTCTCCCTCTGTTTCTCTCGATACCTCTCTCGCTCGCTCTTTATTTTTCATCAATTTGTATCCCTAAATAACCGTCTCTGCTTCTCTCTGCTATATTTCAATGTCTATCTCTGTAATTTTAATTTAAATTTTTTTTTGTATTTCTTTAAGAAAGCTGACACCTTGTTGTGTGTTTGATTGCTACACGTTAATTGTTTGATTGCTACACATTTTCTAAAATATTGTGATTTAATAAAGCTGCTCATTCATTATCTCTGATCACTTTCTTTCAGTGTCTATCATTGTATGTCAGTAGCACCTACTTGGGTCTCTCACATGTATCCCTCATCTGTCTACTAACTTCATGTGTCTTTTATGTAAGGTACAAAACTACATAATAAAATAATTGATTTCTCCTCCAGACAGCAATTTCTTTCGATCTTGATTTTTAGCTAATGCCGGGAAATTCACCAAAGTCGGGACTAGAACCAGAAGACCTTTCGGTTAGATTCGCTCCTTAGGACGTTCTTATTCTATGGATTTGATTCCGAAAGTGATTCTTTTCTTTGATTCCTGTGGAATCGATATTCGATTCCTTCGCTTCCGATTCTTGATGAAATCGATTTCTCGATGAAATCGAATCAAATTATTACCTTCGATATTAACATATACTATATGCATATGCCTGCGCTTTTGTTGCATTTTTTAGGAGATTCGTGATCGGTCTAAATTATGAACGTAGTTGATACTTTATTATTAATTTCATAAAAGTCCATGTTGTGCTTGAATTCTACCTTCCACTACGCCTCCACCTTCCGCATCGTTCAAACCAAACCTCTTGGTTCAAATTAAGCATCTCAATAAAAAAAAATCTCTTTCCGTTTATGGAACGCGTTGTGTGAGGTTATGTTTCTTTGAATCAGTTACATTTTCGTTGATTGGTTCCCACTATTGTTGATGTTATACTCTATTATATTTTTCATTTATGTTCTATTAACATATTGTTTTATTGATACATTACATTACTTTACTTCAATTGTATTATTTCATCTATTATATTCTTTAAGCCATATAGTTAATTGTTATTGTCATTAATATTTAATTAAGTCCTGGTTGTGTTTTATGAAATAGTAAGTGCTCATTTTCGGTATAGATACTTCCGTTGAATAGGGTTTTCCTGTGAGTCTATTCCTTTGGGAAACGATTCTTTTCTTTCGATCCAATTCTAGAATCAACTCCAACTTTTCGACTTTAAGATCAATTATGAAATAGGTTCCTTTACAGATTTCAACTGTCAATCGGAACAGAGACTGCGTAATTAGGGAGTTTGTGGTCGCCATAACGCCAGCAATATATCTTCTGCTCATGCGCAGTTGCGATAAAGTGGTGCGGAGCCTGAACTACACATGCGCAGAAGATCGATAGTGCTTTAACGTTGGAGGTGGAAGAAACTCCGTATTGTTAGTTTTGAGCGCTGCCTTGGGAGCAACGGTAGAGGCGACGAAACAATTGGCATGGGTAGTGGTTGTGGATGAAACAATGGCGTGGGCGAGGTTAAAGCGGGAATATAGGTGACGGAAGTGGTAGCTTAGGTGGAAACGCTGGCCAGTGATTGGGCGGTATGGATAATGAGAAGTGACTGGAAAACATATAGTATAAAACGTCAAAATATGCACATAATAAGTAATGAAAACGGCACGAATAAATAATAAACATGTAAAATAGGATATAATACATAACATTAAAATATTCTAATTGTAAAACATAGTTACATAATACGAAATTACATTCATAAAAAAATCCTAGACAAATTTTTAAAAGAACGGGAACGTTGTAAAAAGCATTTGGAAATCACAAGTTAATGCCTGCTTTGCACGACACCACTTTCCCATCATTAGTAAAAGCGTAATTTTTATTATCAAGAACCGTAGTTTAGCAGCCAAACCACTGTGCATACACGTAAGGTTACATGCATCTTGAGCCAGACTAGGCGCAATAGAAACAATTGTAGAAACTAGCGATATCTACGAGCAGCAAAGAATCAATGGAGCGTGCAAAAGTATGGTCGAAGTGTTACACGCCAGCGATCGGCAAACTTTCTCGTAAATTACACAACTCAACGTCGCGAAATGCGACGACATTGATACATTTCACACCTACATTTCATGAACAATGTAGGGAAAAAACCTGATATTTTTAAAAATACTTCTTTACTTAAAAAATAAGTACTAACATTTATGAAAATTAATAGAATAATAACATATTATGTGAAAATAGCAAAATATGTTATAAGTACTAAATATGCAAAAATATGTAACGCAAAAATTGGATATTGTGTTCGGAGAGCAACGATTCGCCACTATTACAGTTTTGAGATCGATGAGAAGAAAGACAAAAAACATGTAATTACATAAAAATCTTGACTCTAGTGATGAGGACGGATGTATGGTCCATGGAAACGGTTGCTAGCCGGTGAGGACAGCGGTATGGGAGCGATGTGGGCGGCGGCGTGAGCGGTGGCATGAAAAGTGGGGGTGGCGTGAGCGGCGGCATGGTCAGTGGGGGTGGTGTGGGCGGCGGAATGGAGATTTGGGGTGGCGTGGGCGGCGGCGTGGGCGGCGGCGTGGCCAGTGGGGCGGCGTGGCTAGTGGGGCGGCGTGGGCGGTGGCGCGAGCGTGGGCGCGGTCGCGTCCTTTCCTCGAAGTGATTTCGCTCGCGTTCGTTTTCCGCCGTTTTTGCGGCCTCCGCCTTCCTCGCCGCGGGCAGTTGACGATCGCCAGGCGAGCGGCCATTGGGCGATGGGGCGACCGCCTGGCGAAATCCCAGAAATTGCGGGCTTTCGCGGGAGGCGTGGGAGGGGCACCGAACGGAGCAGGGGCCGATTTCACGCGAGGAAACAACCTCCCCGGATTCACAGACGGACTTCTGCTGCGAGTTTCTCGATGATCTCTTCAATATCTCAATCCGCTGACGCGTGAATATTATTATGGTGAACAGAACTTGTTAACCCCTAACAGCCATCGTGCAGTAACACTCACGCCAATGTAGTGCAGTCACTGTGCCCACCCGTTTAAAATATTTTATGAGAAACAAAAGAATTACCGTGATTTCGTAGTCGGTGTACAATCAAAACACAGCCTAAATATTCTCTGACAAATATTTACATACATTGCTGTTATCGGGAATGTTGTTAGCAAAAAAAATCCTTTTTTTGTCGAAGCACTGCTGCATAAAGTGAATTATAACATGAAAAATAAGTATCGAAATGCTGCCATTTGAGGAAAATAACTCTATAAATATATTACGAGTTCTAAATATAATCTTCAAACAATACGAAGAAAATATAGAAATTAGAACAGTTAACTTCAAGCTTTGCTTTTGCTTTGCTTTGCTTTGCTTTAGACTTTGCCGAACAACTTCCTCGAAGTCCGGGTTTGATAAATACGTTTAGACGAGCTTTGCTCAAATTTCACTGCAAAACACGCAGTGTCAAAGGTAACAAAATTACCTTAGTGCAGTCACGGTGAAATTTCATTCACCTAAAAAAAGTAATTACACTTACTCTCCGATCAAACTGGAATACTCTAATCAGCATTAAAATAACGTAGAGCAAGGTTCTGGAAAATGTCCTTCACACTTCGCTTTGAACAAAACGCGTTCGGCACCACAACCTTTGACCAAAACGGTTCGACACCACACCACGGTGGTTAAGCGTTAACAATCACTCAAGTCTTCAATATTCTAATAACTCTCTTTTAGGAAAGTTACTTAGTTCGCGTTAAAAAGTACTTACGTATGCGGAGATAAGCTACTTTTGTATCACATACGTAGGATTTGTAAATATTAACTCACGAGATACGTGGCTTAAACGAGCACCTTTTCGTGAAGGAGAGTATCACACCATTATGTAAAGATATATGAATGTACAGATATTTCGCGAGAAAATATGGAAGTGCTTCATTGCTTTACAAGAGTTAAGTTTTGTGAATGTACCTTTTCGTGAGTACTAGTATTAATATGATAAATAATGGTGTTACTCGACATTTATTACATATCAGGCTGTAACTGTATCCCGCTGAATATTCTGAGCCTCAAAAGGCAGAAATCCTTTTAGCGGGTCACTCGTCACAGTGAAATATAGAAACAACGACCACACTAGAAAGCATAAGTCTCATTTCCTCGTGTAGGAGGATGTAAAACTCATTATTTTACACATCTCTCGTTCCAGCCCATGTATGACAACTGCCAACACACGTCTCTCACTACGTCTAGTAGTCTTATTTCGTTGACACGCGACTTTACTTTGATTGACGGATTAGTGATTCCGGGCGCGTTCATTCCTTAGGTCATTAATCCCGTAAGTGTGTTACATGTTTCCCCTTGGGAGGAAGTTGTTATCTCCCGCAGAGGGGTGGCGAGAATCGGCGCTTACCTACGTCGGTTTGCGGGGCTTTCTCCAACAAGGTATCTCCCATTAGCGAGGCACCGCCCCATCCGGGACAAGCCCTAAGCTTCCGACTGGTCACTCGGCATGTGTAGCAGTGTAGTGCATGTAAATGTGAGAAAATGTACGTACGAGGTGAGGAGAGATCAAGGAACAGGAAGGAAGAATCGCGAGGCCCCTTTGTTAGAGAACTGCTCCGGCAGTGACCTGGAGTTGATCGGAGAAACCGCGGGAAAATCCCGATCAGATCATCCGGCCGCTAAAATTCTCCTCTAGACAGCGGCTGAATCCCATCTAGTCTTGTAGACTTTCGAAAAACCGTCACATCCGCCAAATCTGATAGCACTCGAACTCTAGAACCCATTGGTCAGCAACGTTCCAGAAACAGTGGCAAGCCTGGCACTACGCTAAACAGTTGAACGTTTGAACTGGCTCTTTATAAACAAAGGAGAGGAAAGTGAATAAATAATCCTTCCTTAATCTGCCTCTCCACTACAAGACGTTAGCTTCATGCAAGTTTCAAGCAAGTGCAAATCCTCCACTTTCTTTCTTTTTTTTTTTTTTTTTTGCCTCAAGCGGTCACTACTGACACTTGTAACCACGTATGTAGGGTTGATTTCCTCACAGCAGATCACAGGTGTTAAGGCGAGGTGTTAAGGCGTGAACATCTGCACGCCCACACCAACACACACCTCACACGCACACACACGACAGACCTCATTCTCACGCATCCTCTCATCGAATGTCTCAAGACGTTAGCTGCAAGTGTGAAGCAAGTGGAAATCCACCTCATCACATTATTCAAATTTTGTGTCTCAAGTGGCGACTACTGGCGCCTTTAACCCCGCATGGTGGATTGTACAGTGCTTTCCTCCGGGCGGATCACAGGCAGGTGTGAAGGCGTGAACAACTGCACACGCACACACATACGCACACACACACACACACACACACACACACACACACACAGAGGAGCTCGTTCTCACGCTTCGGTCCACTGAGCGTCGCCGCCGGCCTGCCGCCCGCGCATGCGCGGTGAATGCGCACCAGCGGCGCGAGTGGAGGTCCCGTTCGACCTCGTGGCCTCCCACCCTCACCGCCCACCCCACCCCAACGTGCCGGCGTGGGAGGGAGGGTTTCTCGGCGCGGAAAGTAATTCGGTCATCAGTCACCTAAGTGGAGTGAGTGTTTTTAACGCACGAGGTAGCTATGATCTTCCCCCGCTGGGTGGCAAGATCCGGAGCCAATCTGTATGTTGGCTTGCGATGTTTCCTCTCAGGTATCTCCCACCAGTGAAGGATGGCGTCAGACGGGACACGCTTTAAGCTCCCGACGTGTGTAAAAGTGTAGTGTGTGTGTGTGTGTGTGAGTGTAAAGTAAGGGAGAATAGGAAAAAAAAGAGGAAAGAAATATTGTAGCCCGTTTCTTAGGGTAATGATCTAGCATTCGCTTGGTGTTGTGCGGAGAAGCTACAGAAAACTACCGATCAGAGCAGTCGGCAGCTAGGATTCTTCTCCGGACAGTGAGTGAATTCGACCTAGCTGTCTGGCTAGACTCGAAAATCCAGCCATCGTCAGGACTCGACCCTAGAACCGATCCGCGGCACTACAGTTACATCAGTCGATGCTCTAAACCGGTTCATGGCGTACAAAGGAGAGAGAGAGAGAGAGAGTAAGAGGGAGGAATTAACAGTTGTCGTCCCGGAAGCACAAATCAATCAATCTCACTCAATGGTGACGGCGCGGTGGTGTCGTCGCAGAAAATGATCGAACCTGACATGCACAGTAAGTCAGGGTCTTTCACTGAGCCGCGCGCCTTTCGGCTCACTATGTTCAGTGGCGCGTGGAGGGATGGGGAGCGAGGGGGCAGGGAGAGGAAGCGAGGAGGGGTGGGAGGCTGCGGGCGTGGAGGGAACGGAGGCGCCAGGCGCAGAGGGGGACTTGATGCTAACGCGAGGGAGGGGGGGATGGAGGGGCGGGACGGGCGAAGCGGGAGGCGCAGGTGGGGGGGAAGCGGGGCGATTAAGGTGCGGGCGATGCCGGAAAATGTTGGGCGGTAAAGGAGTGGGTTTGGAGCGGGGCCGGGACAGGAGGAATGGGACGAGAATGGGTCGAAGCGGAGAGGCGCGGAACTGAACGGGGCGGGCGGAAAGCTGGCGGGGAGGTCCGGGGTGTGGGCGGTAGCAAAGGGTTGGGAGGAGATGGGGTTGAGGTGTGGGCGACGCGGGACGCAAGGCGCATTGCGGGGCGGGGGGGGTGAGCGGGGAGGGAGGAAACCTAGCGGCACGGGCGCCGGGGGCAGGGCCGGGCGCGCAGAGTGCGGGCGGGGGTGCGGGGCGCGTCAGCGGTGTAGGACGGGGAGGAAAGGAGGTGTTGAGGGGAGTGGTGTTGCAGTGTGGGCGGGCAGCAGTAGGCGGGGCGGGCGGTCGGCAGGGTGAAGCTGGAAAGGAGCAACGGCGCGGGGGCTGGCCGCGCGAGTAGGAGTGGGCGGGGCGGGAGGTCCTGGTGTGGGGAGGCGGAAAAGGAGGGTTGGTTGAGGGGAGTTGGGTTGAGGAGTGGGCGGCCGAGGGCGCGCCATGCGGGGCGGGTCAGGGGTGAAGCGGAAAGAGGCGCGGGGGCTGGGCCGGGCGCGAGAGTGCTGGGCGGGGGCGGGGCGGTGAGTTATGGGCGGTGCGGTTTCTCCGGTAATGACGCCCCCGCGGGCGCGCGCCGACCCCCTCGTCCCCTCCCCCTCCTCCTTCACCGGCGCCCGGCGTCGCTAGCGTCGCGGCGCCGTTCCCACGCGGGACCCGAGTTCGTGACCCGGCCACGGGGAAGAAAACATCAGCCAGGCGACACAAAACTGACAGACAACGACAAGCAGGAGAGGGAAATGGAAACCACACAAGAAAAAAAAAGAAATTGAATGAAAGGAAGAAAGTAAAATCGAGAACAGCAAAATAATGCTGGCCACAAAAACGAAAGAAAGCGAATTATTTTTTTTAATAGTCATCAAAAAGAAAAAGAAAAAAATAGAAAAAAGCCAATAAGGAAAATGACAGAGAAGGCAAAGAAGCAGAAGAAATGAGATTCATGGAAGAATGGAAAAAAAGAAACGGTAAAAAACATAACGCACGATTTCAAAAATGGAATGGGAAACATAGTAATCATTCATCACAAAAGGTGGGGAAAAAATTGCTAGAGGCAATTCCTTGAGATGGTTTGCGACGTGTGACTCAGAATATTTTTTTTTTAATTTTATTCATTGATTTCTTTCACTTGCAAGCGTTACTAGTTTCATTGACTTCACACGCTTCATTCACTGAATCTCCTTCATCCTCATCATTATTCACCTCATCTCATTCACGGCATCACCTCATTGACATACTTAATTTAGAGAGAGGATGACAAATGTCATAGCGCGTGCGCTCCATAGCCCCTTTGTTGAAGAACTACTCTAGCATTCATTTCGTATTTATCCAAGAAAACAAGGAGCATTTGATTCGATTTGATTTACTCTCCACTTTCGGGTCTCGGACCCTAGAAGCCCGGGTCAATGATAATTAGGCAACGGCTTCGCCACTGAGCTATCGCAGTCGGTGTTTGTTGAACCACCTGCGGAAAATTGTTGAAGACACGAGGTGAAAGAGGCAGAGATGGAATTAGTGGTGCTAAACAGCGCGTACTTTCGCGTCCATATTTTCATGCACAATTACGCAAAAAGTACTCAAAATTCGAAAAATTGTACTTGATATATTTGATAATCTATCTTTTAAAAAAATATTTCATTTCATCATTTCATAAAAATGGCTGCACGGTTTAGCCGCTAGTGTTCTTCACAAACAGACGGACAGACGCATAAAAGGACAGGCGGACAGAGAGGCGTTTTGCCGCCAAGGAGCCACAAAACATGGATTTTGGTAACACCACATGATAGAGGACTTTTATTCTTCATTTAGCAACTGGTTTTATCCTCTTTTTTCTTACCAGGGCCCAGTAATAAACTTTTTGGCCACAATTCGCCATATCTTCGCACAGCTTTACATAACTTTCTCTCAGCTCTGTAGCGAGAAAGTAAATCCTAAAGAAGAGGAATATTAGTATAGTCGACCTGGCAGCAAAGGTACAGCACGTAGACAACAGGAAGTTTGCGATTCCGCATTCGTTTCCCAGCGTTTTCTTTTATTTCCTGCCTCGCAACACACTCCGGCAGACGACGTGACTTCGGTTCCGATCCCCACCCCCACCCCAACGGCAGATAATCAGGCTGCGCCCACAACAATGACCACCTGGGGACGCACCTGTTCTCTGCTCCGACCAGCGCTTCCGGGCACTGGGGCGTGCCTTTCCACCTTCATTCAAATGGGAGGCGAGCGACGCCTACAGTGGTTGGTTTGTTGTTAGTGATTTGGAGCGCCTCAACTACTGACGGCATTGGTCCCGTAAGTGTAGTACAATAATTTTCCTCGAGAGATGGCGGTGGTCTTGACCGCTGTAGGCAAGATCCGACGCCGATCTACCGTCGGCTAGCGGGGTTTCCCCCACCAGGTATCTCACATTGACCCTGCTGGGTCGAGCTCTAAGCGCCCCACGGTCTCCCGGAGTGTATGTAGTGTAGTGCATGTTAGTCTAAGTGTGTGTGAGTAAGGGGGTGAGGATAGGCCAAGGAAGAGGAAAGAAAGATCGCGCGCGCTCCGTGGCTCGTTTCTTAGGGTATTGATCGGGCATTCACCTGGCGACGATCGAAGAAACCACGGAAAACTACTAATCAGAGCAACCTTCTCTGCTCCAGACAGCGAGTGAGTTCGACCTAGCTGAGAAGGTAGTGTGTCTTGCCACGGACGGGACTCGAACCTTGCCATCGCTTTTGACGCGACGTGGTCCAGGCGCGTGCTGACGAGAGACACACACGCACGCACTCCTGCGGGAAAGCACAGTGATCGTGTTCCTGTTTTACTCAGAAGCGGGTTTTTTGTGACGATAGCATTGTAAATACTTGATTCTTGTGCATTTCGGATAAATGTGTCAAATTTTCAATGTGTCGTGTCGTGTCGTGGCAACTTGAACATTAGGTCTATCAACAGGAGGTATAAAATATCGCGTAGGTGACCGTAGAGTTGGGATGGCATTGGGATGCGAAGAAATGTGTTGGGATGTGTTAGGATGGGACGAGATGAAATTGAATGAACTGTGCGAAAAAGAACGAAACATAATGAGGCATGGCGGGGTGAAGTGGGTTGGCGGGGCGATGTGGCACAGGGGGTGGGACGGGTGGCGGGGCGGTCGGAGCGGACGGAGCGTGTCGTGTCGTGTCGTGTCGGTCGGGTCGGGTCGGGTCGGTCGGTTTCGTCGGGCGAGGCGAGCCGAGGCTGCGGCGGGGCGGCGAACGAGAGCGAGCGAAGCGGAGTGAGGCGAGGCAAGGCGGGTGAGGTGGGGGTGGTGCACGGGGTGGACGTGACGAGCGTGGCGCTGCGGGCCTGTGGCGCGCTGGCCGAGCGGCGGGCGAGGCGCGCGGGGCGAAAGGGCAGGGCGGGCGGGGCGGGGCGGAGATTGAAACAATAGAATGACGGGCCGCGCCCAACGAGGTGGCAAGCGCCCTGAGCCGGCGTACGCGTGGGAGCTGCCTCCTCACCCCGAAGACCCTCGAGATGCACGCGATTCCCGAAAACCGATGCTGCCTCCCCCAGGCGAAGGAGAGCAGCGCGCCTTCCCGGATGCCATCGCTTCTTCGCAGGTAAACCAAAGTTTTGAACAAAAAATGAAGGACACGGCGATTTGGTCACGTTGTTTTGTACGACTAAAATAACATGCTATCTACAAAACCATCATTTTAATTTCTATTCCATTATTTGTGTGCCAATAAATTATAAGCAAAGTTATACTTAAGTCAATAGGCTGTTAGGACACCAATTCTTACCAAGTTGGGTAAGTAATATATAGAAATCATTTGCCTTTATATTGTGCAAACGCGTGCTTGTGTTGAGGCTGTACTTCGATTTATTTTATCATTCCACCAATTACAGATCTTTCACATTAAAGTCATTTATTTACTTTTCTGGAATTAGAGAAAAGTGACCTTCAATACGTGTTTTAAACAATATAATTTACGAGCATAATTAGTTAATTAAAAGTTAATTTATAGTGAGTTTTTTTAAAGAATGACACGTATGTAAGCAGTGCAAGCTCCTTGACATCTTGCGATTAGAGTCTTATCAGGTTACATTCATTTGGTAATTTAATTCGTACACCTGTCATATTCCCATCTGCTTTTCTGTATGATCTGCATCAATTCTTACTATATTCTTTTTAGTGAAGATATCAATGCAACAAACATTCCTTGTGAAAAGTAGTACACACGGTAAACTGGCAGTTCGAAGGGTTTTCAGCGAGAGTTCCAGTTCACCTGGTTGTAGAATAATGCATTTCTCGTATGCGTTTTGTGCCATGCTCATCTCATTCAATATGTCAAAAAACGTCGCTGGCATACAAGTAAACCAACAACAGCAGCGTCGTTGCGAAATCTAGCCTTTGTGTCCTCGTGATATGTTTTGTGAATTCCATGGCTGCACATTATTTTTTCTATGTCTATGGTCATGGGCATTCGTTTTGACTTATTTGTACACCAAATAGTTGATAAAATTACATTGACGTATTGTAACAAGATTTTTCAAGACAAAATTGCCAATTGTATGGAGCTTTTGGAATCAAATGAAACTAAATATGATGTATGTTGCAATTTCAATGTACGTGTGTTTCAAACACTGATTTTTTATTAATAAATCAATATACATTTTTTTCGAAAACACAATTCACAGGTCAAAGGTGGCCTCTCGTTTGCAAACATCTCAACCCTGTGTGAAAATCATGAGTTCAGCAGAGATATTCGTTACCAACGAAACCAGCTACCTAATCGAAACGAAACAGGGTAGCCAGCTTTTTAAAGAGATGATGTCACTTCAACTGCACGTAACAGCTATTTTCTTGGCAGAACGATCGAGGTTTTTAGAGCATGCTGGAAGCTGACACGTCGATGTAAATGAAGTCAAAGAAATCGTGTTGCTGTCATATTCGCGCGCAAATTGGTTGCAAACATGACAGAATTCGCCGCGTTTATTTTGGAGAAAGTAGATCCGTAATTACATCATAGCCGTGTTTATATTTTCTCATGTTACAAAAAAAACACATTTATTAGTCATTTATATTTTTACTAAGTTTTGATACCCAAATGCATTCAAGAGCTGAAAGTGTCGAATAATGCTCATAAACTAGAGCAATGTGCAAATTAACGCTAGTAAATTAGTGCCCAGATTTATAAGCAGTGTAAATGTATAAAAACTCAAATATACCCAAATAAGTACTTTAAGTATTTTGGGAAAACAAATGCTTCAATTAAACAGTAATGCTAAATGTTTAAAATTGTGTTGTTATGTATTATATGTTTGATTCATCAAACACGTTATAATGACAACTGTCAACGCAAAAGAAAACGTTATGAAAACAATGTCATTTTTGTATAGAAGTTTTAATTTCATTACACGGAAGAGACAAAAAAATGTACAACCATACGTATTGAAATAAAGAGATCTGGAACCAATCAGAATAAATGACTCGTAGCTTATTATTAGCCAGTAGGAAGAAGCGACACGAAAAATCCGATAGAAAACGCGATATATTTTTTTAGATACATGATTGCGGCATTTTATATGTGTACAGTAATGCTAAAAGAAAACGCATCACCTTTCTCACAGATGAAATCTGCAATATAAACGTGAAAATTCACCACTTGATTTGCAAACATCGAGCAAATCATGAAGGTAATGGAATCAGAAACAACATATAATGAACTTAAAATATATGATTACTAATTTCTACTAATATTTGCTTAAAATGTTTGAGAGCAGAGAGGATTAGGTAAATACAGAATGCCGATTTTCCTTAGGGATGCTGTTTTTTAGCACTACTCTAATTAAATATTATTTTAATTTTGCTTTACTTTAATTTTAACGAGTGGTATTGTCACTGCCAATTATATATATATATATATATATATATATATATATATATATATATAAAAGCTTTTCCCCTTAAAAGTAGTCATTTTTTAAACTTACAACATATCTATCTTCGTTTCGCTAACTATAACTTCAAGATTCAAGAATAGTCTCCTCTGTGGAAGATCTTGAAAATAACATAATTAACAAATGACGACAAATAATCCTTCGTTCTATTAATTTTTTCGGTTTTATTAAAATTCAGTGTTTATACTAAAAAAAATTGTAAATAACAGCCATCCGCAACATATTTGGAGCCCTCTACATTTCTTTCAAAGCAAGAATATCAAAATTTGTTTTAGTAGAAAACTCACGTAACGTTTAAACGAAAACATAAATTATTTAAAATGCAGGAATTGTAAATCTTTCAGAACAGTACAATTTTAAAAATCGAAAGTAATTCGTAGCATAACCTCAATTTTTTCAATTAAATTATCATGCCATTGGAAGTATAAGGTGCACTTCTATGTCAATAAGGAATAGTCTTTGACATGAAGCTTTAACGTATCTAGAGCATATATTGGCAATTTTGAAAACATAATTATGTCATCAGCGCCGCGTAGAACTTTGAGAAAACGTGAATGTTAATAGTTTCTTACTTTTACCAAAAGTTCTGGAATCATTTTTAAGAAAAGAAAATATCATTATCAATGTCTGGGCCCACGTACACGCCACAACAGATGCACTTTCACTCTGACTGAACGATTCTAACCTCTCTCTTTCTTCTTTGAAGAATTTCTCGAACGTAACAACCACAGTAGGACTAACAGGATTTCCAACGCGAGGCAGCTGGCTCGTTGAAACGTGCAACACTCGTAAATAGGTCCCCGTTCACGAAATTGCTTCAATCTACCGATCTCGAAATCACTCTCGAGATCGTTGTGAATGAAAATTACGGGATTAAATCATCCCTCGCCGTTTGTCACATCCTCCTTCAATCATCACCCTCAAATGAATGGGTGCGCAGACAAACCGCAAAGTTACGAGTGACTTCTTTCGACCCCTTGGGGGACGCCTGGTCTGAACAGGTGGGAGGCAGCTCGTGATCCGATGGCGGAGGCACACGGGACTATCGTTTTGAGAACAATAGAATGACGGCTTGTGAACGAACAGAGGCTGCGAGAAACAAGTTGCTGGTTTTGTTTTGTTTTCCGTGAAGGGAATTACTAGAAATCTGATGTTGTATTTTCGATATTGGTGTCAGCTTGGAGAACCGTTTTGATGAGATTATTTTCCTTTGCGTAAGCTGGCATAGATTGTAAAACCGATTTGCGTTGGTATTTTCATTTCTTGAGGAAGAATTTCTAATGATAGTCACATTTTTTCATATTTTCAACCAGAATATTGCATCAGTACAGGTTCTGCCAAGACAATTACCCATAGTAACTAACAGTATTTTTAATAATCTTGACATTACCGAGGTATAAATGATCCCGTGAATAACCAGCTTTTAACAATTTTAATGGATTTATCAATTGATATAACTAGTACAATTGGAACATGTGCGTTCATTTATACAAAAAAGCAATAGGTATTGTTTGACGCTGAAAATGAAAAAAGAACATTGAATTTCTCGAATAATTGTATTAATATCAAAACTTATACACATTTTAACTTCTAAAACATAATATACAACGGATATTTCCCAAAATGAATCCTACTTTTTCAATTTTTGAGCAAATAGTCTCGAACTTATTTCTAAGTACGATGTGAATAGAAACGGGAAAGAAAGAATATTTGCTTGCATGATCCATGCTGATTTTGAAAATATTGACCATGCCACCTCGCAGAACCTATTATCCATGCCTCAGGCGAGATACCAACCGGCGACCTTCGACCCACGATCTCCGAGATCGACCTAATCGTGTGATTCCTGCAAGTTTAATTGAGTTAAGCATTCTACACTGGTACAGTACCTCCCCATTTACAGAGACAATTGTGTTCACAATTGTTATTTAAGCAAGAAGAGCTCTAGTGATCGAGCGGCGACAAAAAGAACATTTTATCTCCGGCCTTAACTATCAAAACATTGTAAAATCTAGGCCTTTATTACATATCATCCCCACACACACACACACAGACATACAAATTCTCCTCTCCCAACCACCACCTTTAGTAGTTACATTCCAAACTCGGGGAGACAACGGGTCAGTACAACGTGCACGCGAATGGCCTTCGCTAAGTTTCGGGGCACGCGGCGATATCAGCTTACGGAAGCCACTCGTGTCACAGGCGGGAAGCAGGGGTGAGAAAACTTCGTCTGAATGCGGCGGGTTGGGTCAAACACACGCGATTGAATATCATACAGAGATTATTTAAATGTCTTGTAAATTGACATGCATAAAGAAAATACAGTTATACAAGCATTCATCATTACAACTAGGAAACATTAACGCACATTTCCACTTAGAGAATGCCATACATGAGAAGTATTAACACTAATGACAAATAACTCAAATTAATATATTAAAGAAATAAATATTAACCAAAATATGTACTAAATCAAGATAAGAATTATATACCAATTTCAGGAAAACACTGAAATGAATCATTGATCAGTGATATAAAAAATACGATGTGTATATTTTTCGTGTGGAAATATACGTAAAAAGCACTTAAAACGTTATAGAAGATGGATAAGCAGAGACCGGAAAAATATGCGGAATGAAGCGTCAAAATATGTACGTAAATATGTAATGAAAGGAGCGACAATATATAATAAATAAATAAAATCAGATATATTACGTAATATTAAAATATACTAATTACAAAACACATTTACCTAATCCAAAATTACACTTATCAAATATTTCCTAACATTTAAAAAAAGGACAATCGTGTTAAAAATAATTTGAACAGCACAAGTTTGTTCACAGTTTGCACCATACAAGTTTTCCATCAGTCGTAAACGTTTCACCTATTGTTATACAGACCCGTAACTTAGGAGCAAGATTAGACGCAAATAGAGCTCATCGTACAAACTGGCGGTATATACGGCCAACTAACGATCACTGCAGCATGCAGCACTATCATCGACGTGTCACACATCGGCGATCGCTAAAGGTTATCGGAATTCAAGGTTAAAAATCACGAAACCCAGCGTCAGTGTCCCACGTCAGTCAGTGATCACGAAACTCCGCATCAGAAACAGTCTTCTTGTGCACCCCTTGCAACCTATCTGTGCAGGTAGTGTGGAAAATGCTGCCACTGTGGGGAGTGTAACCCTAGGACCTCCCGGTCAGAGGCACTGCTGTGACATCAGCTGATGCCCTGAGCCACCTCTCTCAGTAACTTCGCTGGTAACCTAGCTGTGTAGGTAGTGTGGAAAATGATGCCACCGTGAGAAGTGTACCCCTAGGACCACCTGGTCAAAGTCTCTGCAGTGACATCAGCTGATGCCCTGAGACACCTCTCCCAGTAACTTCGCTCGTGACCTAGCTGTGTAGGTAGTGTGGAAAATGCTGCCACCGTGGGGAGTGAAACCCAAGGACCTCCCGGTCAGAGGCACTGCAGCGCCATCAGTCGATGCCCTGAGCCACCTAAGCCGGTATCGCAAAGTCAAATACCCCAGAAGCAGATCAAAGTGGGTGGGTGTGCCACCCCTGGGCCGCGCTCCGTGACGGCCGCCCACGCGCTGTTTGGACAGCGGCGTCAGCGAGGGGGGGGGGAGGGGGGCGCGACGGCGCCAGTAGCATGCCGCCCGCACGTCACTTGTTTGTTCGCGGGCGCCGCCGCCGCCGCCAACGCCTCCGCCCGCCCCGCCCACTCGCGGCTACCGCGCCCGCCCTCGCCCACACGCCCGGCGTGGGCGACGCTGACACCGCCCGCCCGTTGAGTGGCGGAGACGCCCGAATCTGCCATGTACGACTTCGATCGATTCCGTGACAACCGATGCCCCTTCCAGAGGAGCCTTCGATTACAAAGGCGACCTGGGCCGAGCGTTATTACGGGGTTTGTGCTAGACTTAGCGTCACCTGTATCGATCTTCTGCGCAGATACACGAAAGTGATGCGAAACTTGAACTGCGTATGAGCAGAAGATCGACAGTGCTTTACCGTTCGAGGTGGCACAAATTTCATAGTAGTGAGTGAGGGAGTACAGTAGAATCCCTCTGATCCGAACCCCGCAAATCCAAAATATCGGATAATCCGAGAATAATTTGAGATAGAAGAGAAATCAAACAAAACACAACTGATTTGTATTAATTTAATGTATGAACAAAAAATCATGAACACAGTGTAAGTCAACCCAATTCTGAATACTGTACGTAGAATACCCGTTAATATAACAGCAGCGGCACAAAGTGTGCTTCAACCCTTCTGAACAATGTAGCAACTGTTACTGCATGCGATCGGTTATGTTCGTGTTGAATTCCGCTGTTCGAAGCTTTGCCACTACATGTGGCTACATTACGTTGCCATTTTCTCATATCACACGGTACGTTGGATTTAGTCTTGTAATCGTATAGATGCATTTGTATATGTACGCTATTTTTTTTTTTTGTGGATAATCCGAAAAATTCCTAACCCGAACACATCACTTCCTCAATTAGTTCGTAATACCAGGATTCTACCGTGCAGTAAAAATATTGGGAAGATTGATCAGCGATTCCGAGCGCAACAACAGCTAAGGTTATTAGTGTAGTGGGCTTTTTGCGGAATACTGCCGCTGCTGGATGGCAAAATCCGGGTCTGCCCTAAACGTGGGCTTTTCCTCACATCGCACGCTATGTCGTATTGTGACTGGTAATCTCATAGATCAATTTGTACATGTGCGGTACATTTTTACGGATAATCCCAACATTTCCGAATCCGAACAGAGCACTTCCCCCCCCCCCCAATTTGTTCGTAATACTAGGATTCTAATGTACTTCGTTTTACCGTGCACGAGTTAGTCCCGATGGCAGAGTGCGTGGTGTATCCCGGTAGGCGGTGGTGTTCCTTTCCGAAGAAACGTTATATCCGGCACCGACCCACACGCAAGCTAGCGGGAGTTTCACGCTCCAGGTAGTGGCTCCACCGAGTCATCGACACAGAGAGAATTAGCAATAAGGACGTTTGTGCGCGCCATAGCGTCCGCACTATCAATACTCTGCGCAGATGCGCTAAAGTGATGCGAAACTTGAACTGCGCATCAGCAGAAGATCAATAGCGCTTTAACGCTCGAGGGTTCATAAGCTCCCTAATAGCTGCCAATATTTCTGGTATTGTGCATGTAAATGTAAAAGAGAGTGTACGTGAGTGTGTGCGCGCACGCGTGTCTAGATCGAGGAGAGATAGTGAATGGCCATAAACCCACCTAATAGGGTATTATTCATTAGGCATTCGACTGCTATCGATCGATGAAACCATAGAAAATGTCCGATCTCGGCAGTTGCCCATTAGGCCAATTTTCCAACAGTACAATCAATATACGTTCTCGGATCACATGCAGTGTTTTGGCCGTGCATGCGACAAGTTTAAATCAGTCATTTTATCATTGATATTTTTCTTTAATGTACAGAATATAACATAACACTGAACTAATTCCTAAAAAAAATCTTCAATATTTCAAATTTTTCTTAAATTATACTGCAAATGTCTTTTATTTTGAGTAAATCCGGAAAGCTAAAAGTGTTCCGTCAATGTTAAGCACGTCCACTTTACGAACGCAACTTTTTCGTCTACTATTCGAATTAATGACCTAAACTGAACATGTCGCTGCAAACAAGGAACAGCGGAAGTGAAAATTGCAGGTGCCACTCAATCTTCCGCCGGTCCCAGGCCATCGATGAGGCCAGGCTCGGCTGCGGGAGCGACATCTGTGATCGGTTCCGGGAGACAGTGCCAGTTCCTCGTGCGGGGCAGTGCATATTCTCTGCCCTCGTTCTTTTTTTTTATTTTCGAATGACCCACTATGGACTAGGATTATTCAAATTTGTGCCTCTTTCTTCTTTTCTTTGCTTCCATATCTCTTTCATTCTGGACCGATGTTTCTATTTCCCCTTCTCAGCCCAAGTGGTTCTTCTCTTCTTTTTGGGTTTGCCCGCAAATCCTGAGAATTTCTGGAGTTTGGTCATCATTAAAGACCGCTCAGTAATATCTGCTGGTGTAATTATTCTTCTTTCTTCTTCTTCTTCTTCTTCTTCTTCTTCTTCTTCTTCTTCTTATTATTATTATTATTATTATTATTATTATTGCCATTGAATCATGGCTGGTATGTTAATACGTACAGGAACCCAAGTTGACAGATATGTCAACTAACACGAAACTATTCAATGTAAAAGTTTCCATCAACTTATAAAAAGTTAACATAAGTCGTAGAAACAATATCGTAAAAAACTCAATGTAATGGATATTAATACACTCGTGGGAAGTTTCTGATACTTGTGTATTAATATCATCATTACACCATCATTTCATAATGCACTATTACTTCACCCAACAGATGCATCTTCAGAGACTGAATGAAATTCTGTTTCTTTGAGGCGTTGTGACACCACATCAACTGCTTTTCGACTCAGTAAACTTGGTTTCTCCAAACCGACAAGGGAAAACAGGATATCCGCGGAACAGCAGAGATATTCTGTAATCCCTCGTCGGCTCCGGCTCAACGTTGACAAGCTAAGTAAGACTCCATGATGAGATGGTTGCGCGTCCGCGACAAGGAAAGGTCACTGAACCTTTTCCGCATATTAACAGGAAGCAAGAGTTTTCTCTGCATTTCGTGAGAACATGCGGCTGAGATTGGCTTAAAATAGTGTTATTTAAAAAGAATGATCCACAGATGTGCAGAATCTATTGGTATAACACATATTGTGGCTCTAAATGTTAATAATTTATCCAAAAATGTAATTTTGAAACAGCTGCCAGCTCTTGGGTTATTTTATTTATAAAATACTATGTTTGTTTGTTTCTTTGTTGGTTGGTTGGTTGGTTCGTACTTAATGCCGTACCGTTAATCCGATTCCGATAAATCTGTCAACTTGTTTGCACTTGTGGGAAGAATATAGGCATAGTACGATGGGAATGTGCCATGAGAGCCCGGGAGAGACAGACACAGAGGGACACAGAGGCAGACAACGACGCAGAGAGAGTAACAATCAGAAAGGCGGAGAAAGAGAGAGAGAGAGAGAGAGAGAGAGAGAGAGAGAGAGAGAGAGACAGAGACAGAGAGACGGAGAGACTGAGGCAGAAAGGGTCAGAGACAGTGAGAGAGACGGAGAGAGGAAGGGAGAGACGGAGAAATAGAGACGGAGGGCAGGACATCGTCAGCCGGGTTCCGCTAGTACTGTACTAAAATACACGGTGAACAGCAAAAGCAAAAGCGTCTCATCATTACTGGTGTTTAAACCAATCACTGTTCGCGTGTGAGTTCGTACGTGGAATTCCAACTTTAAGTTGGTATTTTTCAAAAGTTTAAGTTGAACTTTTCAAAATCGGTATCGAAATGTCAAATATTTTCACTCGCATACCCAGCAAAGGGGGCAGAGTGTCGTACATTTCTCCAGGTGCGGCTGCGGTTGGATCAGAATCTTTTCCGAGCCCGTAAGTGCTGGGAGCGGAGGGCAAGCATTATCCTTGCTGGTGTGCGCAATAAAGAGCTACGAGAAGCAGAACAAAGTTTTAACACAATCGCCTGCAAGTGGATCAAAGATTGCAGTAAAACATAATTCCAGTTCATATATAGGTGCGAATAAATTGTTCAAATAACTGGTCAAGTTCCTCACAATGAAAATATCATTCACAGAGAAAAGTTTACTTTTCATTTTTTTAAGCGTATAAGTAATTCGAGATGTAATGCGATCGGTTGGAATAACCTGATAAAGAATCAGGAAGAATTAAGATGTACAAGAGAGAATAGGTATTTAATACAGATCATAAAAAAGAGGAAAGAGAACTGAGTAGGAAAATCCTATATAGAAAGTACTAAAATGGTTACTGAAAGTCAGAAAAATGAAGTTGAAGGACTAGAATTCAAATGCCAGATGAGATAATAGAAAGAGGTACACAGAATGGAAAATTGAAACCACGGATACGTGAGAGTGGAAATGGCTCAAAGAGCAGGAAATCAATAATAGTCATGACTAAGGAGCGCATTCTTATGCCCTAAAATAATTTGAAATATGCTTTTAAAAATATGCTTTTATGACCTAAAAATACAGAATTGTGTCCTTTAATATACACATAAAACTAAAGATATTTCATTTCCTGTATAAACCATTTTCATAAAATTCAGGAGAAGCATGATTTGAATGAATAGATGGATTTTTGTGTAAACATAATAGTATAACCGACCCATTTTGCGAGACGGATAGATGAAGTAAATGTTTATTTTCGTGCAATACATTGTATATAGTGTTGCAATTCTTCTGACTTGTTTAAAAAATATGGTATCAAGAAGTACCCTCCATTTGCAGAAGTATTTCATCATCTACACAAAACAAAAAAGGCCAAACCGTGACAAGCTCTTTCGAATCAATGAACGCACACAAATAATCAGATTCTATGACAAGTCTCTATTTTAAAGAAATATGCCAAATATGCATCTATAATTACATGAATGTGAACCACAAGATAAAATCAGCCAAATCAGCACAAAAATGCACGAACATATTAATCTATATCGCGTTATATTCTAACCATGTCAATCAATTTAATTTATGTATGCACGTAAACGACGAACAAAAATATGCAAAATCATGTTAATCCGCTCCCTAGTCACGACAAATAGCAAAAATTTGCAACGGCAAGAAAACAAATTCGAAGTATGAAGTTGTTTTAGCTAACGAGGCCATAAAGACAACTGTCAGTTGGAAATTTGTTATCTGGCTTCTCTTAAACAATCCCATTCATATCATTAAGTTTTCAGCCTCGGATGTA